CACACATATCGAATAAGAGTGGGTGCTAACTGTAGGTATACAGCCCAAGATCGAAGGGCCTGGCATAGCTGCACTCGGCATGTAGGAGCATCCCAGTAACATGAGGTACCAAAAATGGTGTCCGAACGGTGTTCTTGGGATTCAAATTTCTTGATGCATGTAAAAATCCACATGTCACAATTTTCCCTCCGGATGTGAATGTAGAAGTTATTGACGTCGAACATTATGGATATTTATTTTGCTCTGTCTTAATTGTTTCCATGTAAAAAGTAGAATTTATTGGACAAGAACTTTATAAACATTTATTTTACACCTTTTTAAATGTTTCATTGTAAGTTTTGAACAGTAACTGTAGCAGCCTTCGATACCAGAATCATATTGGGGCAGCAAATACATTCCACAACGGCGCAGGGACTGAAGAATTTTTTAAAACAGTGTTAGTCAGGTGGAGAAAAGAGTTAAGCACGAAGTATACTTATCAGAGGCCTAGTTTTTATTTCCTGCTTTTCACAGGTCTTCCAGAAATTTAATCAGTTTTTCGGCAATTTTGTGATGTACAAATGTTGAGGGGTACCACTGATCGTGATACGCGTAGTTGTAGATTTCTCGTGACCTGAAAAATAGTAATGATAATCTGTCCAAAGCGTTTTAGTGCGGAAATGCTGCACACACTGCCGTTACCTAAAAAGTGGGACATGGGATTACAGATGAAAAGTAAGAATGCCATCTTCAATTTTTTGCTTGAAAAAAAAAACAACGTACTTTCTCCAGTTGTAATGTAAATTTGTGTTGTCAGATTCTTTGTTTACATTATCCTATGTTTCTTAATGATCGAAATATAATTTTGAAAATTGAAGCAATAGAATTTATACTTTTTATTGCTTGGGAGAATGGCATAGTCACAAGTAAGACTGCTTTCCTACTGGAGTTTGAGAGTTCAATTCCTCTGCCATTCGTTCATTTATTTCGGCGACAAAATGGTACTGGCATATGCTTGGCAGTCAAACCTGCCATCAGCTTATCTAACCTAGCCGTGAAAGAGGGAGCCATCTGATGATGCTTTTCCCAACAAATGACCGCTGTGAATACGGAGGGGATTTTGATTTTAACTTTTTAGGGATTTTTGGAGAATTTTATGAATATAAAAGGCTTTTAAGAAATTTGTTGGCTAATCACAAAAATCGCTTCCAATCTTTCCCCAGAGTTTGGTGGTCACCAAATCGTGGGGGAAGAGTGGAAGCCATTTTGTTTGATTAACCATCACTGCTTATCTTTTTTCCCGAGCCATATTTGGACCTTGATACGTGTGCACCAGTTTGTGTTACGTCTTGTCTCGAAGCAGGCCACCCTGCTTCGTTTCGAATTTCAGAGCATTTGTTGGAAAGGAACAGTATGCGGAAAATCTTCAACTTGGAATGGTTTGCCTTCAGAACTCGTTTGTGCTCATTCTGTCGGAAAGTTCGCTAGCACTGTTAACAGCTCTACTTTTAGCCTCTCCTTCGTAGACATTATAAGTTAGGGTGCTGAATTTTCGTTGCGCTGATCTTAAACGCTGTGAGTCTTCGCTGTGCTTTTGTGTTTCGCTTTCTGTGCACCAAGCGCATGATATTTGTGTATGCTAGTATATATGTGTCCTGCTTGGCGACTGAATAAAAATGTGACAGCTACATAAAAGGCATAATTTCGACATCCTATATCTACGTGTGTGCGTTTGTCTGAGCAGTTTGAGGGCTTCAGCTCGGGAAGCAGTAAATCTGTGAGGCTGAAATTTCAAGAGGATGTTTCCTACCCTTGTGCAGTGAAGAAAATTTATGTGTCTGTGTGAAATTGGTCTGACCGAGCACCGCTAAGCCATACTGGCTAAGCCAGGGATATTGTTATCTGGCTCTGTGTTGCAGAGCAAGTAATCTCAGGAAACGAGAAGCTTAGATTTTTAAGTTATGTTTGTATAAACACGTACGTTAAATTGGCACGCTGATATGCGAATGGAGTGGTTATATTCATTCGTCGTGTTGCTTCCACAATTGCAGCATTCAGGTCAAATAGTCCAACTCGTGGATTTGTTCGTCCTTCCGTTAGTACCAGTTTCCACAGTTTCTGAACCAGTCATGTACTCAACATCATGAAGGAATTGCACACAACAAAATTTGTGCATTTTCCTCACACTCGTGATTTGAAGCAAACATAGCTAGGAATTAGTCGGAGGGATTGCGCGATGGTCAAAAAATTGAAGTCAGATTTCTCGATGACCTTCGAATTCCATTTCGACAAATCATTTTGTTACGACTGTGTCAGTTAGCCGACAAAAAAGCGATTAGCATATCCCAAGTATTTGATATATCCCAAGACGCCTTTCGTTAGACTCTAACTCATGAGTGTAGGCATTCCTGGACTGAAAGGCGGCAGTCAGTCCAAGTTCATAATTTCAGAATTTATCTGGCGTTTTTAGCAACAAACCGAATTGATCTTTGAAACTCTGGAAGACACGTCCAGTGTGTCATGTTCATCGTTCGCAAAACTGGCATAGCCGGGCGCTTCGCATGGATCGATTAAATTCATTACCACGATTATGCCTGAAAGATCTGCGAGTTCGCTGAAAACAAAAAATGGACATTTGAGATCGCAAGGGTGATAGAAGGCCTTTTTTAGATGTCTTTAAAAATAGATTTGCTCAGATCGGCTATTGAAAAACAGCAACTTCCCTCATGTATAGGATCCGTTGTGGTCAATGTTTCGGTAAGAAGGCAGTGCAGCTTAGAAAAGTTTTTTGGTGATTGCAGGCCTTCCTCCTCTAGTCTCCTGGTCACGGATATTTTCAGCTTATATGTCTGTAACTTTCATATCACTTAAAAAGTCCCGTTGTGGATCGGATTCTCCGGCGGATTTGAAAAAGGAAGGCAAAATTACACTGTAAACATACTACCTCCACTTTTAATCATATTTTGTGATTTTCACCCATTTTGGGAAGAAATTTTTTTTTTTAGAAAACAAAAATGCGTTGTTAGAAAATGCATGCAGACCATCGTCGACGTTGTCGATGAGTGCCAGAGCGGAGTGCGCCACGTTTTCGTCAATTTGTCTATCGTCATGCGAGTTGTCATCAAGATTCTCGTTTCGGTGCAGTAACTCCGCTACTCCACCGGCTTGCAGGATTATTAACGAATCTGAAGATGATAAATGTATTTGCATCACAAATCCGGCAACCATCTCATCGGG